TATATTGTGATGACCAAAACTGGATTCAATATTCCAAGTGTGGTCTTTTTAAAGCATTATAAAGTGGTATTAACCCATCAGTTGATCTTGATTCTATTCCTCTGTTTATGCAGCCTAGAACTGTGTTGGCTTCTTTGGCAACTGCTGCACACTTCTGGCTTATATTTACATAGTTGTCCACTACAGGGGTGGGTTCCTGCCAGCTCTATAGAAGAGGTTTAGAACCGGTTGCAGCTCCCTCCCCCTGCCCGTCTGTACATCATCAAGATGAAGAGCGAGAGGAGGAATTCTGGGAGTTGAAGTCCACAAGTCTTAAAACTGTCAAGTTTGAGCACCCCTGGGATTTTTTTCTAAAGGATTAGGGGTGCAAGGGTCTTGTAACTTGACAGCTTTAAGACTTGCACACTTCAGTGCCAGAGTTCCTGAGCCAATATAACTGGAGGAGGAATTCTCAGAGTTGAAGTCCAGAAGTCTTAAAGCTGTCAAGTTTGAACATCCCTGGGGTTTTATTTCTAAAGGGTTAGGAGTGCAAGGGTCCTGTAACTTGACAGCTTTAAGACTTGTGTGCTTCAAATGCCAGAATTTCTGAGCCAACCTTTTGGTTGCTAAGCAAGAGCGTTGTTAAGTGAATTTCACCACATTTTATGTTGGCCATGCCCACCCAGTTACATGACTGTCAAGCCACTCCCACTTGGTCACATGGCTGGCAAGCCACTCCCACCCAGTCACATGGCCAACAAGCCACTCCCACAAAGCAGGCCACACCTACAGAAGAGGTTCTAAAAAAATTTGAAACCCACCACTGGTCCACTAGGTCTCCAAGATCCCTTTCACAGTTACCACTGTTGAGCAAGGTACTTCAACAGTAGGATCCAATCATAAAGTACGATTAAGAGCTTGCAAGGTTGACTCAGCTTTCCATCCTTCCGAGGTCAGTAAATGAAGAGCCGGATTGTTGGGGGGAATACGCGGATCCTGTAAACCGTTTAAAGCAGTGGTTCTCAACCTTCCCAATGCCGCAACCCTTTAATACAGTTCCTCATGTTGTGGTGACCCCCCAACCATAAAATTGGTGTCTCGGTTCCTATCAAAAATATGTGTTTTCCGATGGTCTTAGGCCATCTCTGTGAAAGGGTCGTTCGACCCCCAAGGGTGTCCCGACCCACAGGTTGAGAACCACTGGTTTAGAGAGTGCTGTAAAAAAGCACTGTGAAGCAATATATGTCTAAATGCTACTGCTGTTGCTGTTGGAGACAGAATGCAGGATCTCTCGTCCAGCCCAATGAATTTTTTTCCATTGATATATAGCAGCTGCATTTGGTCCCCAAAAACCATGATCTCTTCAGTCTGTCTCCATCCTTCTATACCTTTCAGTATGGAAGAATATATGCCGCAGGATATATTACCCCCCCCCCCCATTTTGCATTTTTTCAATTTGGCATTAACAAAGCATTATTACACTCAGTATTGTATTAGCACAAATATACTATGGGTATATTTATTAGGTATACCAGAGGTTCCACTGATTAATTGTTCTCACTGTTAAAAAGTTTCTCTTTAACTCCAGGTTAGTCCTTGATTTACGACCACAATTAAGCCCAAAAGTTCTGTTGCTAAGTGAAACATTCATAAAGTGAATTTTTCCCCATTTTACCACCTTTCTTGCCACACTGGGTAAGTGATTCACTGCAGTTGTTAAGTTAGTAACAAGTAACTTATTGTTAAATGAATTCACTGTTGAATTTAATTTGTGAAATGTTCTTTAAAGATAGACCTCAATTTATGATCACAACTTAGCCCAACATTTCTGTTGCTAAGTGAAACACTTGTTAATTTTGCCTCCTTTTACGACTTTTCTTGCCCCAGTTGTTAAGTGAATCACTGAAGTTGTTCAATTAGGAACATGGTTATTAAGTGAATCGGGCTTCCACATTGACTTTGCTTGTCAGAAGCTCGCAAAAGCAGATCACATGACCCCGGAACACTGCAACTGTCATAAATATGAGTCAATTCCCAAAGCGTCTAAAGTCTGATCACATAACCATGGGGTTGCTGCATCAGTTATAAGTGTGAAAAACATACTTCATTTTTTTCAATGCTGTTGTAACTTTCAAAGAATGGTTGCAAGTCAAGGATGAACTGTATAGTATAGTACAGCAGAGAGCAATGAATAAAGATACAAAAGGCAAACTGAAAGCATTATGGGGGGGTCTTTTGTTGACATATTCTCCCTTTCTCTTTTCTTCTATTGTTCTCCAACCACCAATCATTACTTATAATACAATAAAATACAATAGCAGAAAGACCTTGGAGGTCTTCTAGTCCAACCCCCTGCCTATGTAAGTAAGTAAGGTTCTACATTTAGGCAAGAAAAACAAAATGCATAGGTACAGTATAGGTGGTACCTTGCTCAAAAGTAGTAACTGTGAGAGGGATCTTGGAGTCCTAGTGGACAACCATTTAAATAGGAGCCAGCTGTGTGCAGCAGCTGCCAAAAAAGCCAACACAGTTCTAGGCTGCATAAGCAGAGGGATAGAATCAAGATCACGTGAAGTGTTAATACCACTTTATAAGGCCTTGGTAAGGCCACACTTGGAATTCTGCATTCAGTTTTGGTTGCCACGATGTAGAAAAGATGTGGAGACTCTAGAAAGAGTGCAGAGAAGAGCAACAAAGATGATTAGAGGACTGGAGACTAAAACATATGAAGAACGGTTGCAGGAACTGGGTATGTCTAGTTTAATAAAAAGAAGGACTCGGGGAGACATGATAGCAGTGTTCCAATATCTCAGGGGTTGCCACAAAGAAGAGGGAGTGAAACTATTCTCCAAGACACCTGAGGATAGAACAAGAAGCAATGTGTGAAAACTAATCAAGGGGAGAAGCAACTTAGAACTGAGGAGAAATGTCCTGACAGAACAATTAACCAGTGGAACAGAAGTTGCCTCCAGAAATTGTGAATGCTCCAACACTGGAAGTCTTTAAGAAGATGTTGGATAGCCATTTGTCTGAAATGGTATAAGTTTCAATCAGAAGAGCAAGCTGAACTTGAATCAGTTTCTCCAAAAGATGGACAAACACCTGCCTTTGGCATTCCAAAGGAACCCGGAGAAAGATTTACATCGCTTTTGTCTTTTACCTTACCTGCAAGGAACAAAAATATCCCTTGATCAATTTGTTACCTAACTTTACAATTTTTGAGCAAGAATGATGCACAATCCATTCAAGGACCCTGCAGCTTTCATTTGTGGCAGCTCCTGTTGATGTCCAAGATTGATTTTCTTTTTTTGCAAATTTACAGGGGGGTGGGAGAATAAAACCCCCATTTCCAGAAATTTACCACATGGCCTGTGAGATTTGTGGCTGTAGACATTAATCTGGGGAAGCGTGGTCAGGTGGTGTCCATCCCCACAACCCTCTAGGGGAAGGGAGGCCTGAGGAAACACAGCAGTAAGCAAATCCTGTATGCCTTGCCCTCCATGTGTTCGCTACATCAGCTGCCATGCAAGGTTTCATATCACCTTAGAAACTGCCTTGTTGGCTTTATCCCATAATTAGCATCCGCTTCAACTTTAATCCTAGCAGGTCCACATTCTGGCAAACTATTAGTTTGTTTTCCTATTGAATGATGGGCATGGGACAAAATCTCTCTCTCTCTTTTTAGTCTTGCCGTTCATCTGAAGGGCTACTTGGCCCGAAAAGCCAGCCTTGCAGTTCTTCCTCCATTGTCCTATGCTAATAGAGAAGCGATGCCTCTTGGCTCCCAGATGGCCTCCACCTGCAACCTCAGGAGTGGTAAAGCTTTGGGTGATGCCGCCATTCCCACTGGAGAAACCGACAAATGGCAACAAAAAGAGGAGCGGCGATGATGAATGAGGCGCTGTGGCACGAGTGGGGAAATTCATTTTAAATAGGCCCCATGTGCACGGTGAGAATAATTGCAGGAGGAAAAAGATTCTTTTCAGTCCCACTCCCTCTCAATTTGCAGGAGACAATGTGAGACGGATCCCAGTTACCCCTGATTTTCCTAACATACGGTTGGGGGGGGGGAGCGCTGTATGCTAATTTGAGCTCTGGACGGTCTTTCCATTAAGCTGAAGGAAAACTGTATTTCTGCTTGATTGAGAAGGCCGTGGACAGCTCACTCAGAAAAAAAAAATCTCTTATTTCCATGACATTTGTTTTCATTTTGCATCCTGACTAAAATGTTCACCTCTCCTACCAATGTTGCTTCTGCTAAAATAAAATAATAAAAAAGTTTCCAGTAACTAGGCTGGGTGAAGGAGTCTTCTCTTTTTCCTGATGTACAGTAAATTGTTTTGCCAAACTTCAGAAAGAGGAACTGCTATAATTTCAAGAATGAATTTGAGAAAAAAGTCTAATACATATACCCTAAAGCAGGAGTCACCAAACGTTTGGACCTCAGGGACCACTAAATTCGTAATTTTAAATCTTGCGGGCCACTAATACAATCTGCCTAATGACCAGCTTGGTGGGCATGTCTAAATGGTTGTGTGATTGGGTGTGTGTGACCAACTCGATGTCACTCACATAAAGGGGTACTTCGACGGCCTCTACTCACCCCTCCCCTTCCAGCCACTCCTCGCCTGCCCGCCCGGGCTCCTTAGGGCCTCAACAGGAAGCAGTTGTTGGGAGCTAAGCCACCACCATGAGAAAGAGTTGGCAAAACAGCTGGCTCGGTTCAAATTGGATCTGACCGAGAAGGAGTCTCAGCAGAAGCACCTCACTGAGGACTACGACCACAGGCTTTCCAAGCAGAGGGAAGACCTGTAGGAGTGCAAGGCCAGGTGTCAGCGCCTGGAGGCTTTGGCTGAGTTGTAAATAATGTTGTAAATAAGCTAAAGGTTTGGAGCTTTCAGCTGATTACTAAAGAAGGGCCTGTACATTGCACGTGTCAGAAAGAGGGCCGTGAAAATATTTACAGACCCCTCACATCCTGGACGTAAATTGTTTCAATTTAAGAAAGAAGAAANAATGAAACAGCATAATGAAATAAGAGAGAGTGTGGCAGGCCAAAGATCCTAAAAGGGATATAACTTCAGGCCTGACACTCCCATTAGCTCATGCCAACCAGAGGGATCCACCCAAACTCTAAGCCAAGGGTGTCAAACTCAAGGCCTGGGGCCCAGATCTGGCTCACATTGTGCTTAGATCTGGTCCAAGGGGCCACCCTGAAAACAGCCAAGGACCGGCTTTGCCAGTGCAAACGGAGCTCAGGAGGGCTGCTGGCAGAGGGTTGCAGGAAGCTGTCATAGCCAAAAACAGAGGTCAGGAGCAGGTTTTTGCTGGCAGAGCGCTCAGGCCACCACCCTGACACGAGGTTGAGCTGGCCACGTCCGCCCCTGTCCCTCCCCCACCCAAGATCAAACACAACCCTGATGCGGCCCTCAATGAAATCGAGTTTGACGCCCCTGCTCTAAGCCAACAGCCAATTAAAATGATGTTCACCAGGACATAGAGAGTCAAAGTGGCTGGCAATGGTATCTACGCCCCCATATCTGATGAGATGCAAATGATTTATGCCTAAGTTCTCACTTGAATCAGGCAAGAACCTCACAATATCATGAGTTCTTGTTGGGACGGGGAATTGTTGAAGACTTATGATAAGCCAGCCATGTTGGTTTTTGTGGCGACGCCCTGTGTAACATCGTATGATGGTGCCTAATACCTAAAGAAGTCACTAAGACCTCTGAAGGAGGTTTGTTGATCATTATGGCTCTTATTAAACTACCCACTTGAGGAGAAAAAAGATACCTAAGAAACAAACATTTTCCTACTGCTTTGTTTTACTGAGAGACTAGAAGTAAAGACTGACATCTAGTGATAGGCCACTGTTAGTCCCAACTCTCCTGTTTCCAGGATCTCTTAACATCAAAAATTCATAACTGGAAACGTTTTTAATCATGCTTGGTGAACATTCGAAAAAGCTATTTTTTGGTTTCAAATCCTTAATCCAGAAGATATTAAAGATTGATATGCAACTGAAACTAGAAATGTTTGAGACTGATTGTGAAAAAAAATGGAAAATAAACTCTGGGAACTTTTTTTTTAACTGTATGACAACAGCAGTAAAACTTTTATATGCGTAATAGTGCAAAAAGATTTGACAATACCCATAATGAAGAATGGATGGCGAAGATGATGGAATTTGCCGAGATGATAACATTGACAGTTTTGATTAAAGACAGGAGTCTTAATGCTGGTTGGAAACTCTTTTAGACTTTTTGGGTGAGACAGAAATGAAATTATAATATATGGATTTTGTGGTTAGAAAACATTGTAGATTATATAAAAAAATGAATGTAATCTTAGAGTAAGTTTGAATTTATTTTTAATCCCGCTTTTATCACTTTGTAAGTAACTCAAGGTGGTGAACATACATAATATTCCTTCCTCCTCTTTTCTCCACAACAACCCTATGAGGTGGGTTGGGCTGAGAGAGAGGGGCTGGCCCAAACTCAGACAACCAGCTTTTATGCCTAAAGCGAGACTAGAATTTACTGCTTCCTGGTGATTGGCCCAAAGTTGCCCAGCCAGCTTTCAGGCTTAAGGCAGAACTAAAATTTATCGTCTCCTGGTTTCAAGCCACTTGATCCGTGATGGTGAACCTATGCCACACGTGGCATGCAGAGCCATATCGGTGGGCATGTGAGCTCAGCTCCGGCGTGCATGCACGGGCCGGCCAGCTGATTTTTGGGCCTTCTGGGCCCATCAGATGTCGGGAAACAGGCTGTTTTCGGCCTCTGGAGGGCCTCTGGGGGGCTGGGGAAGGCCATTTTCGCCTTCTCCAGGCTCCTAGAAAGGGTCTGGAACCTGGGGAGGACAAAAAAATGGGTCCAGCGTGCCATAAAGCAGGGGTAGTGCTGGGGGGCCACGCAAGATGTGCGGAGGGAAGGGCGTATAGAATTATGGGTGATCCCCATAAGGGCACATCCCCCCCCCCCGTATTCCCCGTTTTAGCAATAGCAATAGCAGTTAGACTTATATACCGCTTCATAGGGCTTTCAGCCCTCTCTAAGCGGTTTACAGAGTCAGCATATTGCCCCCAACAACAATCTGGGTCCTCATTTTACCCACCTCAGAAGGATGGAAGGCTGAATCAACCCTGAGCCGATGAGATTTGAACAGCTGAATTGCAGAACTGCAGTCAGCTGAAGTAGCCTGCAGTGCTGCATTTAACCACTGCGCCACCTCGGCTCTTTTAGCATGCGATGGCAAAAAGGTTAGCCATCACTGCACTAGACAAAACTGGCTTTTGTCTTTTGTGTCATACATATTCAAAAATAAAGCTTTATTTTCTAAGTTTATTTGCTGCAACACAATTAACGTTATTCCAATTTTAACAGCGGTAATATACAAATAGCATGGCAAGTCTATATACATACTTTGACTCTTCATTATTCTTCTTCATAGGTCTGACTGCCAAATTTTTGCACAAAATCAGGGAGTTTCAGCACAGAACCCCAGCCTGCCTTTGGATTCATACTAATAAAGTCATCCAGATTCATCTTGTAATCTTAAAAAGAAAAAAGAAGAAAAAAAGCATTGAAAGTTATTTAAGTTCTTTGGAGCAGAGAAAACATTCTCTGCTTTAGAGTACAGAAAAGAGGCTAAGTATTCATGATATGCAACTATTTTCATTTTCAATTTTCTTCTTCCAAGACTCATTTCCAAATGACAAAGCTAGCATTGCTCCATGGAGGAATTGAGTCCTCCAGATGTTCTAGACTCTTGTTGCCCTTTAAGCCACCATGACAGAAGTGGGAAGAGCTTAGAGTTTGGAAGAAAATAGCCCAGGACTGATCCATGTTATCTAAACTTTAGCAGAGAGTAAAGAAGTAGCTGAGTAAAGAACCGAGTTGATGAAACTGCAAAAATGAAATGAATTAAACTAAGAAAATGCAATACTACTCTCTGAATTTGGAATCTTCTGATTAGTGTTTCTCGGGCAGGCTGAGGAATTCTGGGAGTTGAAGTCCATCACACATCTTAAAGTTGCCATGGTTGAGAAACACTGTTCTGGATACAAAGCATTTGCTGCACCAAGTCTTGGAGCTAATCATGAGTCCCTACAAATCAAGCTCTGTTTGGAGACTTACTGCTTTACACAAGCAGTGGCGAACCTTTTTCTTACAGCATGGCAAAATTGTGCGTGTGCACTCTATCACACCCGTGCATGCCCACTCAATCCCCCCCCCCCGGCCACCTGCACATGACATCCCCCTCATGCATGCACACACAACCTCTACCCAGGCACGGGAGGCTTTCCTGAAGCCTGGGGAGGGGGAAAATGGCCTCTGCTGGCCCTCTGGAAGGGCAAAAAATCAACTGGCCAGCGCACGCAATGCTCGCTGGAGCTTACGGCTGGTGTGCCACCAAATATGGTTCCATAGGTTCGCCATCACGACTTTACACTGTACAAATTCAACCAAACAAGGCTTATTCGACAGAAACAAACCACAGTTTACTGCAATATTTAAACTCAGTATCAACAGGTGATCTAGGGTTGTTTGGCTGTAGAACACTAACATTTATGATTTACCTGCAGTTTCAATACATGGATACAGGGGAGGAGATTTCCGCCAGTTCCCGCTGGCATCTTTCATGTGCGATCGGTCAGAAGCAAAATTCTTCAGATACGTATCAGCTCGAACCAATCTGACTTTCCTAAGGGAGACAAGCATTTAGAATAATCGATCAGTATTACCAGAAAGCAGAAGGCCGAGTTCCCACAGGCATCTTCAGCTACAGCTAAATCAAGTATTTAATAGCTGTTCAGCATTTGACTCACCTTGTGTTAATTAAATGAATGGTTGCCATTTTACATTAAACAGAAATATTTTACAGGTTAAATGTACATATAAGCCAAAAGTGAAGCACAAAGAATTCTATACCTATGAAAAAAAACCTATTGGATAAATTTGCCAACTATGCCGAGCTATAAAATGCTTTGGTTGGTCCAGTAGTTGTGTTAATCCACAAGCCACAGTTTATACCTACTCACAAGTCATAATTTGTACCTACTCACAAGCCACAGTTTATACCCGTGATGGCGAACCTAAGGCACGCGTGCCAGAAGTGGCATGCAGAGCCATCTCTCCGGGCACACGAGCCCTCGCCCGTTGCTCTTCCAGGTTCTGGCGCACCACCCAGCTGGTCTTCACATGTGCAGGAATGCCGGAAACCAGAAGAGAAGCCGCCTGATGTGAATGCGCAGCAGCTCTTCCGGTTTCTGGCGTGCATGCATGCGTGAATACCAGCTGGCCGGTGCGCATGGGTGTGCTGAACCGCTGGAAGATCATCTTCCCAGCAGGCAGCTGTTCTTCTGGTTTCTGGTGCGTGCATGCACGCCAGCCAGCTGGTCTTTGCTTGTGCATGCGCGCTGGAAACTGGAAGACCAGGAGGCCGGCACGCATACACGCTCCCATTTCAGCACTCGGTGCTGGAAAGGTTCGCCAACACTGGTTTATACCAAGTACATGGTGGCTAATGCAGTCGATTTACAGGGGGTGCCTGAAATATTATGATTGTCAATTGGAAATATCTTGCTTAATGATTCCACTCTCTGCTCTCCCTGATAACCTTTGTTCAGTGAATATGAAGATTGTTCAATGGAGCACAGGAGGCTTCAGGGATGGGAGAGTCCTGGGATGCCCATACAAGTTTGGCAATGGGATTGCTGTGAGGCTGGGTCTGGAGGAAAGCTGATCCTGTATCAGCTTGCAAGCTGGCCTGATCTCTCCTTGCTTGCTGGAGGTGAGTACTGGTAGTCTTTGACTTACGACTACAATTGAACCCATTTCTGTTGCTAAATGAAACACCTGTGAAGTGAATGTTGCCTCATTGTACGACCTTGCTTGCCACAGTTGTTAAATGAATCACGGCAGGTGTTAAGTTAATAGCAATGGCACTCAGGCTTATATATTGGTTCACAGTGCTTTTACAGCCCTCTCCAAGCGGTTTACAGAGTCAGCATAATTGCCCCCCAAAACCTGGGTCTGCATTTTATCCACCTCGGAAGGGATGGAAGGCTGAATCAACCTTGAGCCTGGTGAGATTCCATCTGCCAAACTGCTGGCAGCCAGTGATCAGCAGGAGCCTGCAGTACTGCACTCTAACCACTGCGCCACCACCACTCATATAACACAGTAACACAGTTGTTAAGTGAATGTGGCTTCCCCACTGACTTTGCCTATCAGGAGGTTGCAAAAGGGAATCACATGACCCTGGGACACTGCAACTGTTGGAAATATGAGTCAGTTGCCAAGCATCCGAATTTTGATCATGTGACCATGAGGATTCTGCAGTGGTTGTAAGTGTAAAAAATGGGCCATAAGTTCCTTTTTTTAAAAATGCCATTGTAACTTTGAATAGTCGCTTAAGTGAACTGTTATAAGTCAAGGACTACCTGCACTATAGCATCCCTGAGGCCTGTCATAATGGCGAATGATTGCCAAGGTGATGCAGCCACTGGAACTTTGAAACTAGGTCGTTAGTAGCTTTTGGGGAGCCTGTAGTTAACTTTCAACAGTAGCTAAGCGGCCACTTGCAAGTCAAGGACTAGTAATACCAATAGCACTTAGACTTATATACCGCTTCACAGTGCTTTTACAGCCCTCTCTAAGCGGTTTACAGAGTCAACCTATTGCCCCCAACAATCTGGGTCCTCATTTTACCCACCTCGGAAGGATGGAAGGTTGAGTCAACCTTGAGCCAGTGAGATTTGTACTGCAGCTAGCAGTCAGCTGAAGTAGCCTGAAGTATGGCACTCTTAACCACTGCGCCACCTCGACTACCCGTTTGCTTAAGTAAGCAATGGTCTTGATACAATTCCAGCTAGAGACTCACTGGGATTTACTTCTAGGTTACAGATTGTAAGACTTCAACCAAGTGTAATAAATGCTATTGAAGACAACTTATGGAATAGATACAAACGGCATCATTTTATATTCTGGACTTAAAGCAAAATGAAGGCTTAAACAAATTGTGCTATTCATTTCTTCGGATGTATTCTTGGCATTAGTGCAATAAGGTTTGATTACTTCATACAGACTCCATTAACAGATTAATAGAACTCTGCAGCTGAAATTTATTTTTATGGTCCTAGAGAGTTTTCCGCTTCTCCAGGCTGAAGCAATAAGAATCTCAAATTATGAACTGTAACAGATCAGTCTAACTTTGGCACACCCAAGCCTTACTGCTATTACAGCTGTGCTGGGAACGTTTGTGATTGATATCCCCACCTTCGAAATTCAGCGTCAATAATGCTGTCCGATTTGAAAGCCTCTTCAATGTAAGTGCCAAAGGGGCATGGAAAAGGTAGGACAGTATCAAGATCATAGATATAGTTCTGGTCTCCCTTCGACACATGTAACAAAATAACATGGTAATCCTGAAAAGAAAAGATGGAGAATGAGAACCTGTGATGGTTACAGAGGAAGGTGGAAAAAGGATAAGCCGCTACATGTAAAACCCAATTCAACAATATGTTATATATGATTTATTCGGTTTTAGTTATTGGGTTCCTTCTTAGCTCTGGTATACAAGAATGCTAGCCAGTTGAATCATAGGATGGATCATTCTAAAGAGTTTAGCATGCATGATTTGAGCATTTTGTCATTGTCCTGGTACAAAGCGGCTTCTGGATTTAAGCTAAAAAGTCAAATATAGCTAAAATATGTATGAGAGTTAAGAGTTGCATGTGGCAATTTGCACAGGAAAACAAGTACACCAAAAATGTCTGTTTAAATTGTTCATTCAAATTGGTAAAATCGTTTTAGAATTAATCAAGAATATATCAACATCAAAACAAAGTTTGGCAGCCGTTTAGTTTTGGTGATTTTCTAATGTAAACAAACCAGGAAGCACATTCCTAGTTTAACATATACAGCTGGTTTAAGGAATGAACTCCTATTTTAAAAACCTGTTCATAACTCACCACATTAATCTACAATCTGATCACCCAAACAGAATAGCTGAAAATGATGGGACTTCAAATTCGACTCATCCAGAGGACGTTGTTGTTCACCAGATGTATCTCCTGCGCTTTGTTTGGGACTTCAAGGTAGCATGCAGAGTGCTCCTTCTTCCCATTTGCCCCCAAACAACGACTTTGTGATATAGGTTGGCTGAGCAAGAATGACTGGCCCAAAGTCGCCAAGAAATGTCTACGGTTGAGTATAGACTAGAACAGTGATGGCAAACCTTTTCGGCACCGAGTCCCCAAACTGGAGAGAGAGCACGCATGCGCACACACACACACCCTGGAAACCTGAAAACCATCTGGCCAGTGTGCATGCATGCACCAGTTTTTGCGTTTCTGGTACTCGTGAAGAACAGCTGGCTGGCGTGCAGGCGTGTGCCAGAAACCAGAAGAGCAGCTGGTGATGGCGTGCGTGTCCACAGAGAGGGCTCTGCGTGCCACCTCTGCCTCCATCACAGGACTAGATCTTGGTATCCCTACTCTTGGATCCACCAACTTATCCACCATACTGGGGTGTGATGGTAGTTCACCTCCTTGTGTTGCACCCTGGATAACATGATAGTGTGAATCAAACGACTAGCAACAATTGGCAGCCAGACTACATTGAAGAATTGGCAGTTAACAAGAGTTGGCAGCCAGACATCTTAGTAGAACTCCTGGCTCTCTAAATACATGGCAACGTATATAGGCCACCCTGTCCTTGAATGGCTGTGTGGACTGGACATTAACATTTGAACCACTATAAGTCCATGTATTTGCATACGCTAAATAAATAAATAAAACTACCATACTGGCTGAAGAAACATTTTAAAATCCCATTGGGTTGCATTGGACTGAGTGCATTTCACTGATCTGGTTGTCAAAGATACATTTAGAAAAACAATTGCATGGTAGGGGCAGTGGGAAACGGTGCAAAGAAAATGTAGATTTGTTCACCCAGATCACAGGCTGATCCTCACGTCCTGCCTGCTGCTTCCAAAGTGGCACCTGCAGGTTATAAAAGATCATAGTTAAAATAATTTAACGTCTAAGACTCCCATCAACTAATAGCTAATACATTTTAAACAAATGCCATGTAAATACTCAAGGGTGTTTTTTGTGGCTATAACATCTATTACACAAATTCTTTTTCTAGCATCATAAGCTCCGTAGTTTTCCCTCCAAAAACATGACAGCTAAATAAATGCCTATCCTTTTCTTATGTCTAGCACATATTTCCCAACTGTTCCTTCTACAACTCCTCTCTGCCTGCTTCCATTGTATAAAATTCTAGCTGATAACCCAGCATTGCTTGGGTATTTATTTATCATAATCCATATATTTGTCCTCAAAAATACTCCTGGACCAAACGTAATTTATAATGTTGGATTTTTCCCCTTACCAGAGGGAGCACGCTTGTGGAATACTGTGAAGCTGTTACCATGGCAACTCCACTGCGCTATATAGTAGAAGCCATTTTATGGCAGTACAGTTGAAGCCATTTTAAGGCACAACAGGCTGGATCTTAACAGAACACCCCCCACCCCAGGGGTGTTAGGAGTGTCTTAACCCAACAGTATTTGTTTCCAGGGAGTAAGTCATCTGTGTACCAAGTTTGGTTGAAATTGCTTGAGGAGTTCCAGAGTTATGCTGGAAAACACACACACACACACAAACACACAGAGCGGTAGATAGATAGATAGATAGATAGATAGATAGATAGATAGATAGATAGATAGATAGATAGATAGATAGATAGATA